GGGATTAATTTACCCCAAACAAATCCAATGGAGACTTTGTGGAGGCTCCTTCAACTGCATCATGTTGAGCCCTCCAGTTAAAGATTTGTTTTTTCACCAGCTGCTGTCTGCAATGACCCTCCTGACCCTGTTCTTGATTAAAGTGTGTTTTGAGATCTCTTCTATGGGGTTTTCCACCATGGACTCGTCTCACAATGCCTTCAGATCTACCAAACACTCCCTACATCTGCCACCAATCAGACCCAGATTTATCTCCTTTATTCATTGAACCAAAAGGGAGTAACATAATAAACCATTTGTTTCTGTGACTTCACTCTTTTTAAGTTCAGTGGTCCTTTGGTTTCTGTTGAGATACTTGGGGTGTTATAGTCCAACATCACCTTTTCAATGGGGCTAAGTTGTGCCATTTTTGCCGATTGTGCCTCAGTTGGAAGTGAAGCTTCAGCTCTAATTCACAAGCAAAAAACGGATGTAGGGCCCAGCAGTCTTCAACGATGCTTCTGATGCTTTGAATGATGACTACGGTTCTCTGATCTCAAAACTCTGATAGAAAGTAGCAAATGTCATGTTTTCTATTACTCGTTTGTTGTTCCTTGAAGGAAAGGTGAGACTTAAGTGAAAAAGGTGGAAGAAGAATTAAATCTTCTCCTAGTTTAGAGATACACTTTGAGATTAGCTTGAATTACTAGAAAGTTAAAAGTTACACCATTAAAGCTGGAGTGTTACAATACAAATGGGATCGCATTTTCTAATAATAAAATATTACTAAATTACAGGTGTTATTTTATAATAATCAGTGTTGTATTATTACAATAGTAATATAGGTGTTAATATTACTAATTTATAGGAGTATTACTAATTTATTGGTGTATTTTATAATAATTATTATTACTAATGATATAAACAAAGCTTGATATGATGGGCTTTTAAAAAATTACTCCCAGCTGGGCACAGTGGCTCATGTCTGTAATCCTAGTACTTTGGGAGGCCAAGACAGGTGGAAAATCTGAGGTCAGAAGTTCAAGACCAGCCCAGCCAACATGGTGAAACACCATCTCTACTAAAAAAATTACCAAAATTAGCCAGATATAATGGCACATGCCTGTAATCTCAGCTACTTTGGAGGCTGAGGCGGAAGAATCGCTGAAACCCAAGAGGCAGAGATTGCAGTGAACCGAAATCGTGCCACTGCAATCTAGCCTGGGTGACAAAACGAGACTGTCTCCAAAAAAAAAAAAAAAAAAAAAAAAAAAAAAAAAAAAAAAAAAAAAAGGAAAAACATTACTCCCTCCTGAGTACATTGGCATCTCAAGTGTTTTTAAACAGTTGCCAACATTTTAATACATATTCTAATCACATGATTGACTGTCAATTTGTTCCTTGTGTGAAAAAATGTTTACTTGAGCTGAGTGTTATCTTCACTTTAGATAGTTTTAACAAGAAAAAAATTTCTAAAAATCTTGGCGAGAATGTGGGCTCCTTGCCTTATGTAAGCTGGCTCACATCCCACTGCCTGTGGGGAGAGCAGAAAAAGGAAGGGAGAAAAATGGGGGTGCTAAACCCCTGCCCACGATTCCAAATGGAAAGAGGGAGGAATCCATTAAGCTTATAAGCCAGTGAAAGAAATGAATGGCCATCAGCATTCTAAGGGCACAATTTTTGCCCTTCCGGCTACCATGCCTCTGATGACTTGCTCATCTTTAATCCTCAACGGCTCTTCAAGAAAGAGTTGCAGTTTATCCTGATGAGCAGGAACTGGGGTACAGCCATGCAGCCATGCAGCCTTCATAGTCAAGAAGAGACTCAGGACCTGGCTACCTTTTGGAATTTCATTTCTGACTTTGACATTAATATGTCCCTGGGACATGGAAACCTGGCAGGATATACTGTTAGGTATATACAAGATTCTGTAAGACCCAGGGAACCACAAGGAATATGTTTTATGAATTTATTTGAATGACAAATCTCTCGGCTTCCTCATTCCTGGAGAGGATGTCCTGGCACTAGCAGGGGTCTTCGCCAGAGGCATTTGTTGTTGCTGTTATTGGTTTTAAGTTTGAGTTTATTGCTTCCTCTTCATATTTTATTAAATTTTATCCTAAATTGTGTTTTCAGTGTTCTTCCCTTTTCTTTTATCTTAGAGGAAAAGGAATATTGGAAGTTGAGGGCTTTGAAGAAGAACTGGAAAGTAAGTGTTGACTTTCTTGTTCAATCTCCCTGACCCTGTAATTTTCACTGGCAAAGAGGAGAAGAACATTCCAGGGAGAGCGAACTATAGAATCAAAGAACTAAGGTGCATGACATGGAAAAAATGGTGGAAATAAAGCTCAAAAAGCTTGTTTGGTGACAAATTGTGAAGACTCTGGGATGCCATAATAGGTGGAGTTTGGACTTTGTTCCATGGGCAACAGGGAACCCCGAAGGCTTCAGGAGACAAGAGACATGGTCATATTTATTTGTTAAGTAAATGACTTTGGTATTCATGTAGAGGATGGATTGGGAAGGAGTCCAGAATACCAGTTAGAAGGCTATTTAAATAGTTTAGGGAGATGATGGTCCAAATTAAGGCAGTTTTGGTATAAATGAGTCATACTGGAAAAAATGTCAGAGAAGGTATTCATGAGACTTAGTCATATAAAGGGCAGAAAGTTAACTTGGGGGAGAAATTATGTGAATCATTGTGAGCCTGAGATTAAAAGGGTACCATTAATTTAAAAAGAAGGGTTCTTGGAGGAGATATTATATTTAGTAGAGTTTGTGATAAATCTGTTGAATTTGAAGTGTTCCTGTGACATGTAAATGACAGAGTCCAGAGAGCTAGAATTTTGGGGTTAGAGCTCAGAAAAAAAGATTGGGACTAAAGATAAATATTTGGAAGTGTTCAGCATAGTCAAGATAGGTGAAATTCCAGATGTGGATAAGGTTGCCTATAGGGAGAGAGTATAGCATTAAAAAGCGACAGCTGGGGACAGAAACTTGTAGTTGAGGAGTTGCCAGAAAAGAGGCTGAGAAAGCCATCCGAGATAGAAGGACCACGCTGCAGAAGCCAACCAAGGAAGTAACAATTGTTCAGAAAGACCATTAAAAGGAAACATTAAGTTTCGGTTATAAAGAAGTCACCAGGTGCCTTCTGAAAAGGCATTTTCCAAGGAATGAGAAACAGGAATGAAATCCTAGTGGTTGGGGCTTGGGTAGGAGACAAAGAAGTGTAAGTGAGGCACAAAAACTGCTCTTGAGAAAGATTTGGTAGTGAAGGAAAGAGAAGAAATGTGACTTGAAAGGAAGACATTTCTATTGGTCCAGGTCATTGGTTTGCAAAGCACTTTTACATTTATTGGGTCACTTTATTCCCAAGGAAACTCTGGAAGGTAGGAAGAGCAAACATTTACACACCTGGGAACAAACTGAGGTTAAAAGTTTCGCCCAAAGTCAATTACAGCAAATAAGGGGAAGAATTGGGTTTAGAATTCAGGTCATTTGACTCTTATTCCAATGATATTTCTACTGTGCCCAAACAGAACATTTAAATGTTTACTCTATTTGGATATTGGATACCAGACAGCATCGAGCTCCTTGTTAAAGGCTTTGACCTCATCCACGGTACAATGGCAAGCTGCTGGAAGATTTTATGCCAGGGAATGCTATGTTTCACTTAATACCTGATGGAAACAAATCTGGCAGTGAGGTGTGGGATGTGTTAGCACAACAGACCCCTGGTGGTGGGGAGGGCTTAGAAAATGAGGACAATTAGCTTCAAACTGGAACACAACTTTTGATATGTATTCAATCACATGCTGAGAAAGTGATTTCCCTTCAGTTCTCCAGACCCTATTCTGTTTGTTTAGGAGAAGGTCTCAGTTTGCCAGTATTTCTTTTTTTTTTTTGAGACGGAGTCTCACACTGTCGCCTGGGCTGGAGTGCAATGGCGCAATCTCGGCTCACTGCAATCTCCGCCTCCTGGGTTCACACGATTCTCCTGCCTCAGCCTCCCAAGTAACTGGGATTACAGGTGCACACCAGCACACTTGGCTAATTTTTTGTATTTTTAGTTGAGATGGGGTTTCATTATGTTGGTCAGACTGGTCTCAAACTCCTGACCTCGTGATCTGCCCACTGCAGCCTCCCAAAGTGCTGGGATTACAGGTGTGAGCCACCACGCCCAGCTGCCAGTATATTTTTAACACACTTCAAATAGTCTCTCTCTCTTTTTTTTTCAAGACAGAGTCTTGCTCTGCCACCTAGGCTAGAGGGCGATGGCACGATCTCCGCTCACTGCAAGCTCCACCTCCTGGGTTCAAGTGATTCTCCTGCCTCAGCCTCCCGAATAGCTGGGATTATTGGCATGTTCCACCATGCCCAGCTAATTTTTGTATTTTTAGTGGAGACAGGGTTTCTCTATGTTGGGCAGGCTGGTCTCGAACTCCTGACCTCAGGTGATCCATCTGCCTCAACCTTCCAAAGTGCTAGGATTACAGGCATGAGCCACCTTGCCTGGCATTTCAAATACTCTCTCCTAACCCTTTTGAACAAAGAAAGAACAGGACTCAGGTTGAGAACATTTGCAAAAACTGCATCTCGCTAAAACTGAATTACATTGTTTTCTGTTCACTCTGTTTTTATGGTTACTTTCTACTTGTGACAAGTAGTATTGATTTATTATTTATTGTAATTATAGAAAGTTTACTATACATCTAAGTAAAAACGTCAAATTAAGGAAAAATACACCTAAGACAAGTAGTACGCCTCTATGGAGAAAATATATGTGTGTATTCTAATGACTACAGTTTGGGAAATTATGGTTTTGGAGAGCATTGCAACAGGAGTAATAGGGTTCAGACCAGAGTGGGATGTTAGCAGTAGGTAAGGACAAGAAAAGAAGGCTCTGATAGATGTTTTAAAGGAGTTAAAGGAGCAGGAGACTGTGGTTTCTTGTGGGGTATTTTCTGCAGCATTTCTCAGGATGCTTTTGGCTGTAATAGTGAAAAATTTAAAAAGTCATATGCAGTCCAGTGAATTTATTACCTCATATATCAAGCAGTGTTGAGGTAGGGTGGGTCCAGGAATGATTGAATGGTTCATTGACATCACTAAGCATTTGGCTTCCAACCCGCCTTCCAACCTCAGCAAATAGGGTTTTTCTCATGACTTCAAGATGACTGACATGGTACCAGGAATCTCATCATGGACATATGGTGTTTTCAGTGCAAGAAGAAGACATTTCTCCTTGAGCTGAAGAGTGAGGTGTGAAGAAAACTTTCCCTGAAGCCACCTTCACCAAAATACTGTTCTTCAAAATTCATTGGACAAAAATCATCACATATTCATGCATAGACCAATCACTGCAAAGAGGAATCAAATTACGATACCTAACATAAACTAATTAGGATTTATTCTTTGAGCTAGGGAGATCTTTTCTCTGAATAGTGGAGTTCTTAAAATAATACCGGCTCTGCTACTAAATATGGCTGGTAGGCAGTCAACCATGTCTTTCACAGCTCCTATGGAGAGCTGCAGGTTTTCTCCGGATACCAGTGGTTCTGAAATTCTTCAAATTCACCCTTGAACATAAGTGGCACATTCTTCAGACTTGTGGTTTTCTTTATTTCTGAAAATGTTACTTAGCTCTTCTTTCCATGTGCTGGGTCAAGGCAGAACGAAATACTTCTACTGCAAAATCAGCTTCTAGTTTAGTGATGCACATTGGGGGTGCAATGCGGAATGTCTGAGAAGACACAGGAAAATGGAAAAACAAAGCATCAGAGAATCAAACATGACTTCGAGGAAATGCACTAAACTAAAAATCCAAAACCTAGTGTTTAGGACGTTTCTCTTACTTCTCTTGGTTTGAATCCTCCTCTGTCCCCAGTGCAGGATCCAGGCCATTCGCCCTCCAGTCTCCATACAAACCCTTGTACAATCTGGCTCTGCCCCCTTTTTTGTTTGTCATATATTTACCTCCTGGTCTTTCCACACCTTCACTGAGGTCTTAGGCCCCTCTCTATACACCGATTCTTCCCAGGGTGACTTCCATGTCCATATGTGCAACCCAGCAAACACGCTTCTCACTGCCTTATTGCCACAACTCCCAGAATCTTTATGTCCGCCCCTCTGCATCCATTCACACCCATGGCCAACGCCATGAGCCTCCTCTTCACCAGGAGTAAGTCAGTGTCTGATTCCCACCTCAGCTTTCCTTTTCATGAAAACTTCAGAATCCTAACTCATCTGTTGTCTTCAGGTCTACTGCCCCACTCAGGTCTCCTCTTTCCTTTCCACCCAGCTCGGAGCACAGTGTTGGCCGAACTGGGCTTGCACATGCCCTTCTTTTTGCTTGCATTTCCACCCTTATTCTGCTGCACTTATACAGCCAGTCCCAGCCCTAATACATGATTTTATTGAATGACTTTTCTCCAATCTAGATGGCTGAGACATGTTAGAGAAAAATCACACAGCTAGGCTGAGCGACACTCCTAGATATTCAGGGTCTCCAACTTCTGTGGGTCCTCCCAACTCTTCTTGTCCACTGTCAGCATCCTTTCTTAATCAAAACCATTATCATTCCTCTCAATTTTCTTAACTTCTGCGCCTCTCCCTGTATTTCATAGACAATCATCCCTCATACTTCTCAGAGAATTGAAGCTGTCAGGCAAGGTAAACTTGTTTGCTCCCACATCCATTTTTATAACTTTTCCTAAAGGCTCAGAGAACAAGATGCCTTTACTGTTCCACTCTAAATTGTCCGCCTATGCCCTTGGCCCTAGATTCTCCAATCACCTTCACTCCAGGAAACATCCCTTTGTCCTCTTGCATCCTCAACTTCCCCTTAGCCTATAAACAAGCAGGCTTAAAGCTCTCATAACCCCAATCTAGACCACACCAAATACAAAGCTGTGTTGACCCCCTTGTCCCCTATAGCTATCTCACAAATGCTTTCTTCCTGCTTTTAGCCATACCATTAAAAAGACTTGTTTGTGCTTATTGGCCATTATTTATTACCTTGCCCTTCCCCCATTCACATCTCAATCAGCTGCAGTCTGGTTTCTGCCCTGTCAATCTTCCGCCACCATTCCACTAAAGTTACCTGCAGGCGTGGAACCCACAGGGCCTCTTCCAGCCCTCATCCTCCCTGGTCTTTTCTGCACTTGGCTCTTTGGAATTCCCACCCCACTTCCTGAATCCCTCCCCTCTCTTTCTTCCATGACGTCACACTCTTCTTACTCTTCTAATACCTGTCCACCCTTTCAGCCTCTACCTGGGCAGCTTTTTCCTTCTCTTGCCCTTCATTGTTTTTATTTTTTGAGATGGAGTCTCACTCTGTTGCCCAGGCTGGAGTGCAGTGGCATAATCTTGGCTCACTGTAGCCTCCACACCCTGGGTTCAAGCGTTTCTTCTGCCTCAGCCTCCTGAGTAGCTGGGATTACAGGCGTGTGCCACCACACCTGGCTAATTTTTTATATTTTTGGTAGAGACAGGGTTTCACCATGTTGGCCAGGCTGGTCTTATACTCCTGACCTCAAGTGATCTGCCCACCTTGGCCTCCCAAAGTGCTGAGATTACAGGTGTGAGTCACCACATCCAGCCTCTCCTGCTCTTTAAATGTCGGTGTTGTGCAGGTTTCTATCTTCATTTCACTGAGCTTCTCATCTGGACATCAGACTTCCTGGGAGATTTCCTCATCTCACCACGTAAATGCTGATGACCCACAGATCATGACCTTTAGTCATTGCCTTTGAACTACAGATTTTTATAGATGATTCCTGACAGGAGTTTTTTTACTTTACAATGATGGGAAAGTGATACACGTTAGTAGAAATTGTACGTCAAGTATCTATACAACCCTTCTGTTTTTCACATTCAGTACAGTACTCAATAAATTACATGAGATACTCAACACCCTATTATAAAATAGGCTTTGTTCGATGATTTTGCTCAGCTGTAGCTAATGCAAGTGTTCTGAGCACATTTGCGGTTTGCTGGCTAAGCTATGATGTGTGGTTGATTAGGTGTATTAAATGCATTTTTGACTTAAAATATTCTCAATTTAGGAGGGGTTTATCAGGATGTAACCCCACTGTAAGTCAAGAAGCATCTGTAGATTGAGCGAGATGTTCATGAACACCTTGAATGGAGGATGCTTGAAGCTGGACTCATTCTTGCCCACCCGAAATCAACATGAGAGCTTCTTCCTTGACTCTCTCTTGTTCTTCATATCCACATTCTGTGCATTTTCCGGGATTATCCTCAGAATGTCTCTTCTATCTCTACTACCATGGCTCAAGTTCAAACACCATCCTTGGCTCCCAGAGGGACCCCCCTGCCTCTAGTCTTGTCCCTTAGATTTGCCCTCCTCAGAGGACAGATTCTGAAATCAGACTGCCTGAGTTTGGATCCTGGTTCTGTCGTTACTTAACCTCTCTGTGTGTCTTTTCCTTTATCTGTAAAATAAGGATAATAATAGTACTTATTTCACAGGCTTGTTGGGAGCATTAAATGAGTCAGTTCATGCAAAGTGTTAGGACAGTGCCTGATAAGCAGGAAGGACTTCATATCAGCTCTGCTGACCACCTCAAGCCTTTGTGCCAGCCACATCTGTGTGGCATGAAGTGGTGTGCAAAATTAGTTCTTTGTACTTGGCCATGTTTCATGCACACTTTGGTTGTTTACCTCATTATTTAAGATTCCACTAGCCAGAAAGCCTGGCCTAGAAGTCCCTCTCTCTCCTCCTTGAATACCTTTTTAAAAATATTTATAGATGAGCTTACTACATTGCATTGTAATTTTCTATATTATTGGCCTTTCTCTCCCACTAGCTCCACGAAGGAAGGACTAGATCTTATTTATCATTGTATTGGGTTGATGCAAAAGTAACTGTAGTTTTTGCAATTAAAAAAAAAAATCAGAACTGTAATTACATTTGCACCAACCTAATAGTTTCAGTTCCCAGAATAACACCTGTTCCTTAGCACGTAACAAATTCTGCCAAATAACAAAGCAAGTACACAAGTATCTTATGCCTTTATAAACTGCATGTCTTAGGATTCATAATCATTAAATTATGCTATCTGATTTGTACAGAAAAATATTTATGATCAGGACTAGAAAAAAACTCACAGAGCACATCCCAACAGAAGTGCTCATTGGTTTTGTTGTTTGGGCTGGGAGAACTTTAAGTCTGTTTTGTTTAAAGGGGAAGTTGGGGAAAAGTTGAAGATGCCAGAAAACATGGGGATGTTTCCTTGAGTGAAGGTGGAGGGAGCCTGGAGAAACAAGCACACAGATGGAAGATCTAAATTTGCACAGGAGAAATACCTCATTCCTGGAACTTTCAGGGAAGGAGGTGCTGTGATCTGGACATTTGTGCCTCTACCCCTTGAATTCATATGTTGGGGGACTTTGGGAAGTGATTAGGTCATGAGGGCTGTAGGAAATAAGAATTAATAAAAGGTTCCTCTTCAAAGCTTTCCTTTTAGTTCATTACGAATAAATAATAGTTTCTTCAAAGGTTAATTTGCTTTAAGGCTTTTGCTAATGATCTTAAAGTAGCTGTTAGTTATAATGAAGAAATAAGTGTATTTCTTAGTTCCTACACTTCGACCTAGATATTTGCCCTGACATGTCTGGACAAGCCCAGGTGAGTCTCAGGTCAAAGCTTATTCCTCTTCCTTGGAAGTAGTTTTGCCTCTCCAAGCATTCGGGTTACTTCCTCTTTTCCTTTGTTTTCCTCTGCTTTTACCTCTTTAGGAAAGTTTTAAGTTGTTAGCCACCAGAGTGCAGCATAGGCTGTGAAGTCCCGTTTCAGCCAATGGAATGAGGACACAGCAGGAGGGTGGAACATTAGATATATGGCCCTGCCTTCTTTATTCCATGCCCTCTCATGGCAAGATGGCTAACCAGAGCACCCTTTCTGCAGAAAGTAAATTTGCCTTGCTGAGAAATTTAAATTTATATTTGAGTGCTACTTCTTTTGTGGCACCAAAAATTTACATAAAAATTTACATAAAACAAGGGCAGAGACCATGTGGAGATTAGTGAAGGCCCAGGGAGCTCTCTTGCCTCTTCTGCTATGTGAGGAGACAGCAGAAAGACGGCCACCTAGAAAGAGAGCCCTCACCACACACTGAACTTGCTGACACCTTGATCTTGGACTTCTCTGCCTCCAGAACTATGAGAAATGAATTTCTGTGGTGTATAAACCATCGAGTCTATGGCACTTGGTGATAGCAGGCTGGGTGGACTAACACAGGAGGTAAAAATAGATGTGGGGATGAGTGGTTTTGCCTGATAGTTTATATGGAGGTTTTGCCTGATAGTTTCAATTTTCTCTGAGAAGTATGAGGCAAGAAGATATTTCAGTATCCACTGAAATTGTGAGAAGCAGGAATGGAGCAGGGAAACTGGGAAGGATGAGGGGTGTTTAAAATGGGAAAAAAAGTTGGCAAAGGATAGGAGAAATTAGGGAGAAGCCAAAGGTATCTTCCCTCTTAAGTATCTGCCCTGGAGCTCATCCCTGGGGAGGGGCCAGTTGCTGTGAGGGACTGAGGGGCAGCCCACTTCACTCACAGCAGCAGCAGCAGCAGCCCTGGGGCAGTGCAGGGTGAGTCCAGGGAGCTGGGCGTGGCTTTTCAAGGAAGGGAATGGGAGGGCTTGACTTCTGAATCTCCCAGCCTAAGGGTGAAGGACACTGGCTGTGGCTGATTTCAAGTTTGGCAACGGGGGGGGGGGGGGGCTATGCCCATGTGGTCCTCCATCTTTCCGACAGGCGTCACTCAGGGCTGCCAGTGAGGCCACTAAGTCTTATCAGGGTCACCAAGTCAGAGCCCAGGGCAGAGCTAAGAACAGCAGGAATTGCTTTCACAGGGGCTAGAATTAATTATACAGGAGACAGATTATTGATTGCATAACTGCGATCTTTCTTATCACCCATACCGTAAACTGTCTGCCTTGGCCATCCTGCGTCTGCCTCTATCTTTACCCCACAGAGCCGCGGCAACGACCAAACCATTTTCACCCAGCGCCTCCTAGTGGCCTGAGGCTGCAG